GGTCAGAAGAGGGTTTCAGATTCCCCTGGAACTGGAGTTAAGGACGGTTCATAGCCACCATGTGGGTGCTGGGAATCGAACCCAGGTCCTCTGCAAGAGCAGTCAGTGCTCTCAACTGCTGAGCCATCTCCCCAGCCCCAAGAATTGGGGTTTGACTGACTTTTTTTTTTACTTAGTCTGTTACCATATGAAAGACATGCTATTAAAGTCTACCCTATTTCTGAGCTTTTTGTGGTTTTCCTTTGAACCAGGGTCTCAACTCTATTCCAGGCTGGCCTTGAACTCATACTGGTCTCAGACAAGCCTCCTGCCTCAGCCTCCCAAGTGCTAGGATTTCAGGTAGGAGCTACCTAGTTTCTGAGAAGCTTTTTGGCCAGAGCCGCTGGGTGGTGATAGGCAGGCACCAGCTGAACTCCTTCACAGCTGGCTCTGGCTGCTCCAGAACCACATTCCAATCCACATGTCCGTGGGTGACAGCTGCAGTTTTCTTAGAGGAGCACAGGATGGGAGAGTTTCAGTGTGCATTCTGACACATCAAATAAGGGAAAAGAAAGAAGCCTAGCTGCGTATTGACCAGACTTGTGGAGACCCAATTTGCTCCATTTATCCCTCTGCCTAGGGGATCTACGGAGACCAAACTCAGGAAGGAGAGGGGCCACTTTTTCCCTCGGTTTTGGGAACGAGGCAGACTGTATGGCAGTGCTAAAAGGGTATTTGGTTTTTGCATTGGGTCTGCCTGAGTAAGGGGGCGGAGCGTGTCGAGGAGTCCTGGGGAGCTGGAAGTGTGCAGGGGCAGGGCCTCCTAGGAGGACCAGGGGATGCAAGTGGAGGGGTGTCCTGAGGGACCAGGGAGTGCAGGGCAGGGCATCCCAGACTCATGGAGGAGCAGAGGGAGTGTAAGGGAACAATATCCTGGGAGCGGGGGGGGGGGGGGGGGGGGGGAGCACCAGAGGGGTGCAGGTCAGGGCGTCCTAGGAGTCATGGGGGAGCCAGGGAGTGCGGGGCAGCCGGTGCCAGGAGTCCTAGTGAGGATCAAGGAGGGCAGGGGCAGGGACAGGCAGGAGTCCTGGGGGACTGGATGGGCGGGGCGTGAGGGAGATGCGGGGGGCGGAGCGCGCCAGCAGTCCGGGGACCCGGCGGGTCAGGGGGCGGGGCTTGTGCCGCTTGGGGAGGGCGGGGCGCCGGTTGGTCTGAGTGACAGGCGGGCGGGGCGGCGGCTCCTCCCCGCGCGGTGCGACGGCCGGCCTCGGGTACCTAGGCTCGCCCGGGCGGTGACGCCTCAGTTACGGAGCCGGGCCGGGCGCGGACGGCAGGATGAACAGCATTAAGAACGTGCCGGCACGGGTGCTGAGCCGCAGGCCGGGCCACAGCCTGGAGGCCGAGCGCGAGCAGTTCGACAAGACGCAGGCGAGCGCGGGCGCGGGCGGCGGGACTCGGTCAGCGCGGGCCTGGCTGTCTGGCCTGGGCCCAGCTCGGCCGCGCAGGTGAACCGGAAGCCGTGCCGGGCTGGGCGCCCCGAGGCCCGGGGCGGAGATGCGGCGGTGCGGGGCCGGGGCGGGGGGGGCGGATGGCGGGGGGGACCCAGGTGCGCGAGGATGGCGGCGGTGGGGACCCAGGTGCGCCCGGATGCGGGACTTAGTGCGGGCGGCGCCGCCCGGCTCCGGCCACCTTCCCGGTGCCCCAGCTTGCGGAAGCCATGCGTTTCCTTCAGGGAAACTTCTGGCTTCCTTTTCACCTGTTCCACAGCCGCACGGTATCTTATTTGTTGGGTGAAAAGTTTCACGTATGCCGCCAGACTTGTTTGCCGGCGCGGGGTCCACTTATAAATAGGCTGCCACCCCCTCATTAAACACCGACGCCTGACAGACGGAAATTTCCCAGGCTCGTTCCTGAGCTCCCACGCGCCGCTTCTCTCTCAGGGGAGGGCCGGACCTGGGAAGGAGGCTTGGAAGTTTAAATAATGGCTCGGGTGTGCGTTCGTGCAGGGGTTGCTTTATGTCTGGTTTTCCCTTTATGTTTATTTTTAGGGTCTCGTGTAGTCCAGGCTGATCTTGAACTCCTGATCCTTCTGCCTCCGGTTCCTGAGTGCTGGGATTATAGGCGTCAACCACTATTCTTCCTTTCTATTTTACAAACTCTGATGTGTCCTTGTGTCTGGGGAGATGGGCAGAGTGGGGATACTACTTGTTTATTTGCCAGACTAAGTCAACCAAGACCGAAATGGCTGAATTTCTTATTTTAGCATAAAGGAAGCCAAGGACTCCTCCCACCTGTGTCTGAAGCAGGTTTGTGACATTTGCATTTGTGGGTGTCATGGGCAAGTTCCTTCCCTCTTATGGGAGCAGAGAGCAAAGGACTACGTTTGCTTTCAAAACAAGTTAACACATGCAGTCCACAAGAGCTTTCGTTTTGACGAGAAAACACAGGGAGATCTAACCTTTGCGCTCTCATTGTGACGGTCCATGAAAGTGATAATCAAACCTCGAGATGTGCAGGCTCCCTGCAAGTCACTGCTGGCACCAACCTGGCTGCAAATGATTGATTTACCTATGCGGTCTCCTTTATCTGGTCCAGCCGGGATCACCCATCATAAAAACCAGCATGGCAAACCAGCATGCGTTTGATGTAAAGTCAATACATAATTAATTGTGCTTAGTAAACTTTTGAATCCTAAGGAGAGTACTCTGTTGGCACAAAGAATCTGGTTGTCCTCGGGAACTTGATTCATTCACTGAGGTTTGGAATTTTTTTCCTGCTTTTGAGCAGGTGGAGAGAAAGTGCTGATTGCCTCAGGGAGCAGGTCAGAGAGATTTAAAAGGTCACATTCATTGATCATACTCTTAAATGATTATGTCAAGGGCAGCCTTCTTGATTGTCAAAGAGAGTCTCTTTTTTGGTGACCGGTTTGTGAATAAGATAGTTATTTTGTCTTGTTTTGCCCATTTTCAAATTACGTTTATTTATTGTGTGCATGTGTGTAGAAGTCAAAGGACAGTTTGCAGGAGTAGGTTCTTTCATTCCACCATGTGGGTTCTGGGGATTGAACTCGGGTTTTCAGGCTTGGCAGCAGGTGCCTTTACCCTCTGAGCCATCTTGCCAGCCGTCATTCTTTCTCTCTCTCTCTCTCTCTCTCTCTCTCTCTCTCTCTCTCTCTCTCTCTTTTTGAGGGTCTGAAAGGGTTACTCATGGTACACAACTTGGAGAATCTCATAGGACTCACCCACTCCTTTTTCAGCAAGAATAGAGTTTGGGTCCAGCCTCTGGGTATGTCTATCTTCATATTGACTTATTGAGGGATGTAAGAATGAGGTTTTGAAGGTGGTTAATATTTAATTAGATCATTCCCAGAAATATCTGTCTAGCTGCCAACCAGGCTTCATGGAAGAAAGGGCTGTAGAGAGCCTTGGTTGCTGCTTCTGTGTCTCCTACAGAACAGAAAATAAGCACATCCAGTCTTGGGACCTGCTTCCCTTTGGATCATACCTCCTGTCTTGACATTGACAGTGGCAGGCTGTGGAGCAGCACTTGGACTGGCTTAGTCCTCAGCAGCCTGCCAGTCTCACCTCTCCTAGGCTCCTGGTCAGAAGGAAGAAGAAGGAATGTTTGCATATTTGCTTTCTGGACAGGACACACCCTGTTTTGCACAGGGCTCTGAGGTTACCTCTCACGAGTGTTGAGGGAGGGCAGTCACTGTTCTTCTGGCAGCTGGTGCTTAAAGGGTGTCCTGAGGGAACCTGTTCTTCCCTGTGATTTTAGTCTCTTCAGTGATTAAAAACCCCTTTTCAAAATGTTACGTGGCTGCTTGTGTTCTGAGTGTACAATGCTACACAATTTGGTACATGTGTATTCTGAACCCAAGAATTCCCTAGCCCCATCCTCTTCCAGCACTGAAGTTACACGGGAACCCTGCTTTACTCCCCTTTTTTTTTTTTTTTTTTTGAGACAGGGTCTCCTGTAGCCCCAGCTGGCCTGGAATTTGCTTTTTAGAATAGGCTGGGCGCCATCTCTCACAGCAGTCCACCTGCCTCTGACTCCTGAGTGCTGGGATTAAAGGTGTGTACCACCATGCCCAGCTCCCTTTATCTTTAAAAAGATGTTATGAAGTGCCTCTTGCTTAACAGGTAGCACATCATAAGAAGATAGTGTTACTTCATAGAATGTACTTGTAGGTAGGTAGATATGGTCTCTAGACTGTTTCTGGGCAGGTAGGTGACTACAAGCTTGTTTATTTTTCTATAAAAATAGGGCTACTTCTGTGTTTCTTGAAAAGCATGAGGTAGATTGAATAATTTCCTTACAGAGATGTCCACATCCTAATTCCTGAAACTAGTAAATGTGTGGTCTTCCTGGTAAGGGAGCTCAGACTGCAGATGGAATCAAGTTGCTCATCTGCTGACCTTGAGGTGGGAGGCTGTTATGAATCAGTATATGGGCTGTATGTCATCACAAGGGTCTCTAAACATGGATGTGGGAAGCAGGAAAGGAAGTCACGATGATGCAGGGTTTAACTCTACTGGCTACCTGTGGCTTTGAAGATGGGAGAAGGAGCCAGCATCCAAGGAATCCTCTATAAGCTGGAGAAGCAAGGAAATAGATTCTCCTCTAGAGCCTCCAGAAACAGTACTTCTGAAGCCCATTTTTAACCTTGTAAGACTCATTCCACCAAGGGCTAGGGATGTGGGTCAGTTGATAGAGTACTTGCCCAGCATGCATGATGCTCTGAGTTCAATCCCCTGTACCACATAAACTGACACTTGGGAGGTACAGGTAGGAATATTAGAAGTTCAAGGCCATCCTCAGCTATACAGTGCAAGGCCAGCCTGGGCTATCTGAAACCCTGCCTTTTTTTTTTTTTTTTTAATATCCATTCCAGACTTCTGACCTCCAGAGCTATAGGATGATAAATCTGTGCTGTTTTGAGGCATTAAGATTGTAGTAATTTGTTATAGTGGCCACAAGGAACTAATACACACTGCAGTTAAACATAAGCAATGCCTAGCACATAGTAGGGTCTCAGCAAACAACTAGCTAGCCATTTTCCACTGTCCACCCCTTCCCCCCAAAAGTTCAAAATCTGAGACCTCTGTGAGAGAAGAAATTCATCTTTTTTTTTTTTTTTTTTTTTTTGAGACAGGGTCTCCCTGTAGCCCCAGCTGTCCTGGAACTCACTATGTAGACCAGGCTGGCCTTGAACTCACAGAGATCCGCCTGCCTCTGTCTCCTAGTGCTGGGATTAAAGGTGTGTGCCACCAGGCTCAGCTATAGTTTCTTTTTCTGAGGGAAAATACCATTGCCTTTTTTGTTTGCTTCTCTGAGCCACAGATTTCCCCACTGCATAGAGGGAGGGGCCTCTTTTCAGGTCAGGATGAGTGAAGCCCTTTAATCGTGGTGTAGGGCTCCTGGACACCACTAATGGAGCCAGGCCTAGGGGAACATTGATCACAGAGGCAAAAGGATGAGGCATTCCCATAGGGAAGGGGCATGGTGAGGGAGCTGTAAATGAAAACAGTTCATAGGTGTTTTCCAGATCTTCTCTGTAGCCCCCCACCCCAACTTGTAAAGATTAACATTTATTGACAACTCAGGACTTGCAGCCCAAGCTGCACTATACTGCAGTGGTGCCGGGTAGAAACAGAAGAGGAACCACATGGATAATTTGAGATCACCTAGCAGCTTCTTAGAAAGAGTAGACAAGTGAAGTTGATTTTCCTTTTATCTTTGACTTATCCCAACAGGTCCTAAATAAAGACCTCCCAACCTGTGAGCACTGTACATTATGAATGGGGTATTTCTCATTTTGCCCGCCCACCACATCTCTGAAATCCAGCGTGTCTTCCTCGCTCCCAGCTCATCAAGTGTGGACTCAGCCTTAGGAACACTCAGCAACTGCCCGTGGCCAGCAGCCTCTTCTGGACAATGCAGTTGTTAGAAGTACCTAAGGAGTACTTATCTGTCAGCAGTTAGGTGTCGGTGATGGTGACTGGGGGTGATTTGGCCACATGCAGAGTCCTAGGAATTGATACTGTTTTGTACTTTTCTCAGCCAGGTGATTCTTAGAACCTAATTATTATAAGCCATACACAGAACACAAGCAGCTCTGGAACTTGCCGAGTTTCTGGCTTGACTGCAGTTCCCAAGTTAGGGGATCCTTTCAGATCCCACATGGTACTCAGGGTGGTCTGCCCATAGCCTGGTGTGTAGCTTAGTGGTAGAGCACTTGACTAGCATGTGAGAAGCACCACTTTGATTCCAAGCACTCCAAAAACAGATGGGGGGAGTGTTGTAACAGGTCACTAAGTACTCGTAGGTTCAAAATATTTACAATAATAGAAAAAATTTCCCCAGCCTCAGAGTTGGAGAAGAGCCCTAGCCCACATGCAGAATAGCTAAACCCCCAGCTCTGTCTG